TACATCATTAGAGATTATGCTAGGCTACTATAGATTAAGATTTCAGAGGACAGATTTCAGGCCTTGTTTATATGTATCTCCAGAAATTATCCCAGGACTTGACACAAAATGTTGAATGACAATGCATATGAAATTAATACCTTAAAAAACAACCTCAAAATTCTATGAATTTAGTAATAATACCAGTTTATCACTCAGAGCATTTTACTCGCCCCATGAAAAGATGCTTCCAGAGTTGTTTAATTTTGTTGTTGTCAGATGAAAATGAACATTTGAAGAACGTTTGTAAAATTACTACTGAAGACAATCATTTTGCAATTCATCATTCCCTACATTAGATTCTGTGTGATATTCCTTCCTCAGTTTTAGAAAACAGCTTACTCGTCCTAGCGACTTAGGGTATTAGAATTCTATAGCCTATTGTTCCTCCCTTTTCCTTGCTTCCCAGGAAGACCTAGACCTAAATTTAATGCCTAATTATATTTTCAGTATTAGTTTGGGTGTTTTTGCAGTTATCTTCTTCTTTTCAATATTTCCCTTTATATTTTCATAGCCTAGTCCTTTTTAGAAATGTGTGCTATGTATTACAAATTAATAATGTCAGTGGTTTATCATTAACCCTTATCTTCAATTTTTCTTTAAAGTTTCAGAAAACATTGTTGAACACTCCTTGAAAGTCTCCTTCCTTACCTTTGATAATATTCTTTTAGGCAACAATTAATTATTGAGTACTGACTACGTGTCAGGTACTGTTGTGATTCTTCTCCTGATTCATTGATTACTCTTCCTCATCTCATTCACTCTTTCCCTCTTCTGCCCCATAAATGGCACAGATCCACCAAGATTGGGTCATTGGTTCTATGATTTTCTTGCTCTGTATTCTGTCCCTTGATTTAGGAACACAATCCCTTACTTGAAAGTCTTGGTATGCTTCAGAATTCAGAATTTTTGAATTTTTAGCAACGTCATAGGGTATATCTACCATATGTTATATAACACTCTCCACAGAGAGAGGGGCAACATACTGTAATCAAATATATTGCTATTTCTGCAGTGAAATATGAGATAAAGACTATAAATAGCTTCACTAAAATTCTTATCAGCTTTTGCTGCCAAATGAGTTTTGACCTAAACTTAGGAAAAAGATTGTGGTTTTCAAACCATTTTAGATTTTGAAATTGCAGATAAGGGATGATAGACCTCTTAAACTCTCCTTACTTTAAAAAATATTTTAGGTAGATTGTTTCTCAAATCTGTCTGGTCCCACATTTCCAAATACCTTCTGGACGTCTTCACTAAGGGTCTTATCAACTCCTTTAATTTGTAATGAACCAAATTTATTGCCTCCTAAGCCACTGACCTTTCATGGTTCTTAATGTGTTTAGCTCTCAGCATCATAACTGAATCCTATCGAGTACACTATAATATATTCTGAACTCCTTGCTGCCTATCCTTTCGAGAGCAGATGAGATCAGGCGTGTTCAGGCTGGTATGGCCGGAGACCTTGCCACCACTCCCTGCCATCTATCCTTGCCTATTACAGCTTAGGCCTTCATTACTTCTAATGGCTTTGTGGCTCCTCAAATTAGGATGGATCCATTAATTCATTCATGCACTATGTTAGACATTGGTAAATACTGGGCCGGCCTGGTGGCGCACTGGATAGTGTGCCGCTTGGGAACGCGGCGGCGCTCCCACCGAGGGTTCGGATCTCATGTGGAGACCGGTTCCCGCTCACTGGCTGAGCGCGGAGCGGGTGCAACACCAAGGGTTGCGATCCCATTGCCGGTCCCCGGTACGGGCGCAACACCGAGGGTTGTGATCCCGTTACCGGTCAGTAAAAAAGACAAAAAGGAAAAAAAAAAATACTAATAGACAGGTTTCTTAACTTCAGGTTCCTCATCTACAAGGTCCTCTTCTTAGTGGGAAAGACTAATTAAAGCACTGGTTAAATAAATTAGCAAACATTAGGTATAATAGACTATTTTGCAACCATTAAAGAGGATGGCATAGCTCTATATGTCAATTGCCAAGACATATTAAGGAGAAATGCATGTGGCAGAAGGGTATATTGAGGTCCTATAGACAGATGGCTTATCTGTTTAGAGAAAGATCTGGAAATCTATACACCAAGCCATAGCAGTGTTTTTGAGGAGACGACTTTATTTTCTAATTTAATTTTTAGTGCTTTAATTAAAAAAAAAAAAATATATATATATATATATATACACATACACATATATACATACACGTGTGTGTGTGTGTGTGTGTGTGTGTGTGTGTTCTAATAAAACAAAATGGATATCAGGAAGTTAAATATGATTAGAGGTATGAAAGAGGAATTTAACGTAAAGGGATTAAACTCTGCTTAAATTAGGAAAATCTTAATGTTTTAAATTTAATGTTCTTAATGTTTTCCTTTGGGCACAAAAACAGATATTCTTTTTTTTTTGTCTTTTTTCGTGACCGGCAATGGATCGCAACCCTCAGTGTTGCGCCCGTACCGGACCGGGACCGGCTACAGGATCGCAACCCTCGGTGTTGCCCCCGCTCCTCGCTCAGCCAGTGAGCGGCCGGTCTGTATGTGGGATCCGAACCCTCGGTGGGAGCGCCACCGCGCTTCCCAAGCAGCGCACATTAGCAGTGCGCCACCGGGCCGGCCCAGAAACAGATATTGTAATCAGAGCCAACAGCAGGTTCAGTGGTACCCTATTCTTAAAGGGTATATATAGTGTGTTCTGGGAGTGGCAGATCAGGTGCTCAAGGGTAGCTTCAAGGGGAAAGCAGGATTTGAGACTGCAGTAAGATGTGGTCAGTCTGTGAAGGGCCTCAACTACTAGTTGGAAATATGGGCCTGATCTAGTCAGTGGGGAGTCTCTGGATTTTCTTTTGGCAGCTGGCCAACATGGAGAACTGAACCCTTAACCTTGCTGTTACAAGGCAATGCTCTAACCAACTGAGCTAACTGGCCAGGCTTGGAGGTTGTTTTTTAAAAATATGCTTAACTAAACTGTAATCTTTATTCAGATTTCAACAGTTTTTCCATTAATCTCTTTTCTGGTCCAGGAGCCAATTCAGTATCCTACATTACATTTCTTTGTCATGGTCTCCTTCATCTCCTCTGCTTTGTGTTTCTCAGTCTTTCCTTGTTTTTTATGACCTTGACAGTTTTAAGGGGTGCTGATCAGGAAGTTTGCAGACTGTCCCTCAGTCTGGGTTTGTCTCATGTTTTCTCTTGATTAGATTGTAGTTAAGGGTTTTGGAAAAAATACCACAAAGGTGAAGTGCCCTTCTTATCACATCATGTTAGAGGTCACATGATATCCAGATGATATCACTGATATTAACCTACATCACTTCTCCACTATAAGCTTCCCAGGAAGTTTCCCCCTTTTTATACTTCTAAGGCTTTTAAGCTTTACCACATATTATGATATGTAAAGGCAATTCTCTTGGTAGGGTGATAGAGAGGGTGGAAACAGGAAGGCCAGGTATACAGCTATGGTTGTTACAATAATTCAAGTGAGAGATGACAATCATCAGAAAAGGATTGGAGGTACTCAAGTTTTTCTGGCAACTGGGTGACTTATGGTAGCTTTAAAAGAAACAGGACAAATCAAAACCACTTCACACCCATTACAATGGTTTTAATAAAAAAGTCAGATAATAACAAGTGGTGAGGATGTGAAGAAATTAGAATCCATACCCTGTTGGTGAAAATGTGCAGCCACTTTGGAAAACAGTCTGGCAGTTCCACAAAAAATTTAACATATTTACATTTGAAGCAGCAATTCCACTCCAAGGTATAATATACCCACAAGAGATGAAAGCATTTATACACACAGGAACATATATGAATGTTCATAATAACATTATTCATTATAACCAAATAGCAGAAACCACCCAAACATCCATGAGCTGGTGAATGGATAAATAAAATGTGGTGTATCTACATCATGAGAAATCATTCAGCAATAAAAAGGGTGAAGTGCTGATACATGCTACAATGTAGATGCACCTTGAAAACACTATGCTAAGTGAAAGAAGGCTACCAGAAAAGACCATGTATTACATAATTCTATTTATATGGAATGTCCATAATGGAAACAAATCTAGAGATAGAAAGTAAATTGGTTGTTGCTTAGAGGGAGTAGGTGGTGATGGTGAAGGAACTGGGCTAAATGGTAACTAGGTAAATGGTAGGGGGTTTCCTTTTGGGGTGATGAAAATGTTCTAAAGTTGATGATGGTGATGGTTGTACAACTCTGAATACACTAAAAGCCACTGAATTATATCTTTGAAATAGGTGAACTGTTATGATATGAGAATTATATCTAAATAAAATTATTACAAAAAAATCTGGAACACATGGCAGGCGAACTATATTTGCTCAAACTACATTCATTCAAATTGAAGTGCTGATGGGACATTCAGGTGTAGATGTCGAGCAGCTCAAAAATGAGGTTGGGGCTAGAGATATGGCCCCATAAATCATTACCATAAAGAATTCCTTCAACAGAAAGCAAGATACTCAATTCATCTAGTCCAAATTACTAAACATGTTACCTCAAGGGAAGGTTCCCAGCATGATACCCTGAACACTTAATAGCACTGAGTTTTCTAGGGTTAATTGAGAATTGACTCTCTTCACTGGTAATAGAGACAACACTGTGTTATGGAGACTGGCTGATGTCTTGCCTCACTTTCAACTATAATTGTGTTTACTTCATAAAATAAAATGTTTTACCATACACGGCAATGTCCCCCAAGTAATCTGCCGCAATGTATTTGGGAATAATAAAAGCTGAAATTAAAACAGAAATAATGAGAAAAAAAAGTTGAAATTTAAGACTTTATCAATTTAGAATAAAAATATTTGCCATAATTTACAATCTAAGTGGATTTGACGTTACTTTATTTCCTCACTGAAGAGAATGGGGTCAAGTCCTAAAACCTAACTGGCCACATAGGTCATCACAGTTACTCTGCATTGCACCTATCCCACACCTAACACACCCCTCCCTGACCACCCCCAACATTACTTGGTGGTAGACAGGAATTCCATACTAAGGATAATAATGGCAGAAGGAAGAAAAAAAAAAAAAATGATTCCACCAATTCTTTTAATGGTCACGTATCCCTTTTTGGCACTAGTAAATGATCTGTTTTAAAATCCAGAAAAAGAGATACTTTACACATTACAGAAGATACAGGGTTCTGTTTGCTCTTTGAATTTCTCAAAATCACTTTCTCAGTAGAGTTTCAAGGAAATAATTAACATAATATAGTCTATGAGAATGGTGAGTAAATCTTTAACACAGTTGGTCAGGTCTAAGTCCTGAACTTACAAGCTATGCAATTCCAAGTTTGTGCTAGAATACGTGACTAAAAGAATAAAAATGAAATGACCAATAGTACATACCATTTTAATTTTTATTTATAAAATAGAAACCTAAACTCAGACAATTGCTTTGTTCTTACATCTAATGTGACCATATACCAGAGAAGCAATTCTTTGTAAAATAACTTAGATAACAACTGTCAATATAACAATTCCATCAGAAACTGCAGATTGAAATATTTAAAGTTAGGTAAATAAAATTCAGAAAAGAGCAAATTAAATATTATAAATCAGAGGAATCTCTCCTTGAAACATGAAAATCCTTTTATATAGTCTCCAATGTAGTCTCATTTACAATCATAAAAAAAATACATTAAGATTAATCATACTGCACAATCCCTAAAGGAAAAAACTGAGGGAATTCATGGATAATTTTCACAGCTTCATTGTAAAGTCCAAGATCTGAAAGAAACATTTAACCAAACATTTAATTTACAGTGGGAAATTATAACATCAATTATCATACAAAATATTTCTACCTATTTCTCTTTTCTCTCCCTTTGAGAGGTCAACTTATTTTCACAATCCAGTTTCTGAAACTGAGATATGGATCATCGAATTTATTTAATTGTGGTTCCAAGAAAGAAAAGATATGGGAGACAGGAGATCATCTATTTTGATGTCCATTATAGGCAGCTTCCTCCTGGTCATGTTTTAGGTGTTATGCATTGTTCCATGCCTTCAATTCATATATTAAAACATAACAAAACAAATTAATGTTATTTTTGTTTGCCATATTGTAAAACTTTCTCTTTCCACGAATATTAATTAATCTTTACTGAGTTTCCTCATGCAAGCATTACTTAGAAACAGGCCAAAATGTCCTCCCATTTTCCTCTGAGATCAGAAAATTCTATAGAAATTGGAAATATGGCAAGACTGAGACTCAAGATCAACACATCAAACTAAGAATAAAATTGTTTACCTCATAATTATAAGAAACCACTAACTACTAGAATGCTTTATTTACCAAAAGGATTGTTATCTTCTTTAAACTGGATATAAGATGCACACATGATGGTTGCCTTGGCCGTTACTCTTCCAACTACTTCCACAATTCCAGAGATTTCTTCATCAAGCTAAGACATAGAACAAAACGTCAGCTTGGTATTATCACATTTTCAGTTGATAATTAATTTAGAAAACTGTTATAAAGTTTACTAATCTTTCCTTTCATGTAACAAAGTAATTTTAAAATTTACAAATGCAAAAATTGAACTGTAACTTGTTCAAAATTGTTTGAGTACTTAACTGTCATATTACCTTTACTAAATGCTTCAGGTAGTAGCTTCAGGTCCAAAGATACAGTTAAATGTTTTATTTTTTTATTTTTTATTTTTTTCCTTTTTGTCTTTTTTCGTGACCGGCAACGGATCGCAACCCTCAGTGTTGCGCCTGTACCAGACCGGGACCGGCAACGGGATCGCAACCCTCAGTGTTGCGCCCGCACCTCGCTCAGCCAGTGAGCGGCCAGTCTGTATGTGGGATCTGAACCCTCAGCGGGAGCGCCGCCACGCTCCCAAGCGGCGCACTGTAGCAGTGCGCCACCAGGCCGGCCCCACAGTTAAATGTTTTAAACTGAAGACAAAATCACTTAAACATACTGAGAATGTTCAGCATTTTTATAAGCAGTAATTTGTTTAAAAGGACCCATTGAGAGGAACATTCTATAATCTATATTTTATAAAGTATGTTTGGTATATATTAACCAAACAGCATATAGACTTGTATTCATAAAAGATGAGGAAAATATTTTTAAGCACATTAAACATACAATACAAAAATAAATGAAAACTGAAAATATATATAAACAAAAATAGAAAATAAAATTTAAAAATTTAAAATTCTTGAGGAAGGAAAAAGCAATTTAAATGGAAGATTGTTCTCATGTGATTTTATGGTTTTTCCATAAGGAATGAGAATTGTTATCCAGTGTTTAAGGGATATATTAAAAAATCATGGAGTCCAAAGAATCATTGGTTAGATATGTAAAAAGGGAAATATAATCAGAGAAGACGACAAGAATTTAATTTTAGAGCCAGCGTAGTTTTATAAGTTCATCCTTTATGCATCACTCTAAAAATCAGAAACATCAGCAACAAACGAAACCAAGATGAAGGATTAACTATAATACATATAGAATTAATACTTAAACATACAGGCTCCATCAACTCAATGGTTCCATTTTTTCCTTCTCCATCTGAAAGAATAAACATTTTTCCAGTGGGATGAATCTAAAACAGAAGCATAAAATTAAAAAAAAACAGAACACAACACATAAACAAAACCTTTAAAATCTCATTAAAATTTTTTTTAAAGTTTGACAAAAGATGAGCAGATTGCCTCTTATTTACTTAGGTGACCACGAAGCAATTGTTTTTTGAGCAGTTTACTTGGTTCAAATTATAATCTTGTTACCAGATCTGGTCATGGGATCCCTAGTTGATTTTGAATGTCAGATAAACAACCAACCAAAACTTTTTTAGTATAAGTAGGTTCTGTATTTTTATTTGCTAAATCCGGCAACCCTACGCTAAGAACAAATTAAAGGAGGCTCATACTATTTAAAAGTGAGATCTGCAGGCAGTCATGACTTATTATAGTACATACCTCACAGAGGGTATACTTTAAAAATTAGGCATGATGAAATAAAAGGAGAACTGATTGCCAGAAGATCTGGGTTCAACTCCTGGGAGGCGACTGCAAACAGCACAGTCAGGTTTGAATGCTAGCTTTGCCTATTGCTGTGGTCCTGGGCATTTTAGTTAACCATCCACCACTCCTACAGTTTCCCTACCTGTGAAGTCGAAATAACATCCATTTCACGGAAAGGATGTATGGATGAAAAGAGGTACTAACTAAGCCTTTATGTAGCAGTTTTCTTTCCTTCAGCTCTCTCAGGTCACTGGTTCTGAGACTTTGGGCCTGTTTTCCCTATAGGATGAGGGGGCTGCACTCTAACTCTGGGGTAAGATAACAGGGTGCCATAGGATCTGGAAGGGACAATCAAGGAATGTTTTATGGAGACTGAGACTCAAGACCAAAACATCAAATTAATAATAAAATTGTTTTCCTCATAATTATAAGAAACCACTGGGAACAAAGACAATTGGAGAAGAGAAGCAAGCAAGTAGATTAGCCTAGTTGGCGTCAGTCAAGTCTGGGTAAACTGAAAAGTCATAAGGTAGACGTGGGAGTCAGGCCTATAATTTCCTTTACGTAAATAGAGAAAACAGAGGCGAGGGGCGCTGGAATTTAGAACGTAGCGCATACAAAAACACCTCGTTTCCATGCCATAAAAGAGGCGCCAAGATGGGGTTGCAATGGCTAAAAAAAGTGTGCAAAAAGTCTCCTTATGCAAGATAAAGCAATCGGGAGTGCAGTGATGCTCTGAGGCTTTCTGTCCTCCTTCATCCTCCGTTACCCACCCTGAGTCCGCCACCATGGCGGTCACAGAGTCCCTCCCTCCGGCTACCAGGGAGCCAGGGACAGAGGGCCCGCGCACCTTTTCCAGCCTCCCTACGAAGCAGACGGGCCGGTCGATGTACTGAGTTAGCATGCTGGCATTGATGCGCGATCTGGGCATCTCCACCACGTCCGCCATGATTACAGCACAAAACTGGCGACCAGCGGGAAACAAACGAACAACTGAAACTGAGCGCCCCGCGGGTGTCTATGGGCCAGATTTCCCCGGCACCAATCAGCGAAGACTAGCGCGCAGGCTCCGCCAATCAAATGCGCGGAAACCTCCAACGCTTTCGAGCTGTCCGGGATAGGTCTGGGAAAGGGGAGGGATCAGTCCGGAAGTGGGGATCAGCTGCTTGGTGACGCGCGGCGTCCGGGAAGTTGCCCGGGGTCCTCGGCTGCGCAGTAGAGGCGAGGCTTGGTGGGGGCGGGGCCCGGGGCCCCAGGCTTCCCTCCCGCGCTCTCGGGCCTCCCGGCGGCAGCGTGACCCCGGAAGTGGGGTGTCGGACTCCAGTGCCAGTGCGGCCGGGGACTGCGGCGCGAGCCTCAGGTACCTCTTCTCGCGGGAGGCGCTGCAGCCTCACTGTTTCCCTTCTCCCCGCGGACTGTGTCGAAAGAGCGAGGCGACAGTGGGGCGCCAGCTCCCGCAGTGGCGCTATCGGTGCGGCACACCGGTTAAGGTTATCCGCTTCCCCTCTTTCCGGTTCTGCGTCGGGGACGCGGGATTCTTGCTAAATGAAACCTAGGGTTCGGGGGTTTTTTGATGCACACCCTCCTGGAGACCAGAAGCGGGGTCCTCAATGAGTTTTATCACTTTCTTCAGGCTGTTGCTCGGTGGCAGAGGGTTGGTTTAACCCCCAAGCCGCGTCACTTCACAGCCTCAGTTTTCCCACCTGTAAGAAAGGGTTGACCGGAGTACCTCTACAGCCCTTTTGAGTCCTGGCGGTCTGGCCACATTGCGGAGGTGCGGTTCTGTCCGTCTTCAGTGTTGGCAGCGAATAGTGCATCTGAGGAGTGGTGGGGGGAGGACCCCTGGGCAAGACCGGAGGAGGAGACAAGCTTAAGTAGTCGTTAGACCCCCAAGCTAGTGCTTTTCTTCCTTTTTATTTTATTTTTTTTATTTATTTTATTTTTATTTTTATTATTTTTTTTTTTTATTTTTTTTGTCCTTTTTGAGACCGGCCGCACCGCACTCAGCCAGTGAGCGCTGTGAGTGCACCGGTCATCCCTATATAGGATCCGAACCCGCGGCGGGAGCGCTACTGCGCTCCCGGTGCCACACTCTCCCGAGTGCGCCACGGGCTCGGCCCTAGTGCTTTTCTTCCTGAGGCGTACTGTTCCCATGCGCAAAATGAGGGGATTAGACTAAGTGATTCACAAGGTCCCCACTGACTCTTGGCCTTATGATTAACGGCTCTTCTCAGTCCCCCATCAGTCTTTCCACCATTGCCTCCACATCCTGGGACTCTGGAGGGGAGTTCTGGAGATTTGGGGGGAATCTCGAATCTGTCGCTGCCTCATCGTGTGGCCCAAAACCGGTGGCTGTTGATTCTTCGGGTTTTTACCTGCCAGGATTGGTAGCCGTTTTGCCAGGTATATTCCACAGTGAGTGCACATAAAAATACCTTCAAACGGTGAGGCAGAAATTGGAAAAAAATTTTTCATTGGGTATTATAATTTCGTGAAAACTGAATCTGTGAATTTGCCCAAAGCCACAAATTCAGGTACATAGCTGGAGTCTCCAATTTAGTCCGCAGTTGCCTTAAGCAAAAGAGATCCGTTTTGAGACTTCACGTAGCAATTTAAGATTAAAATCTGTGTGCTGTATGTTAAATGATAATTAGTCTCCCTCGGTGTTTACTTAGCACTTAATATGTTTGTCTTAATTTTGCTGTCACTAAGACAAGTTTAAAAGATTTTATTAAACAGATGTAGGGTGCCACTCAGTTTGTGTATAAAAGAGTGGTGGTTGTATTGGTGCAAGTCAATAAAGTCTATTTTATATTTCTACATAAAGCCTTAAGATCTTTTGCACTTTAGCATTGCTTTGGAAAGCAAGTCGATGTGCCATTGTATAGGGTAGGGTATACAAGAATGTCTTTAATGTAATAGTAGTTTCTTAAAAAGAGCAGCCCTTAAAGTACCAGATGCTAATACCATGTTTTACTACAGTTAAAACACCACTTTTAAGCAAAGGCATTTTTTTTTTAAACAGGGAGATGAGCAAGAAGATAATTTAAAACAGCCTTTTGTATATTTTTTGAGTCACTTAAAATTTATTATGAAGTATATAATGCACAGAATATATATAGCTGATATGTATAGTTTCGAGAGACGTGAAATGAACCGTTGTGTGTCATTCAGCTTAAGAAATGGAATTTTACCAGTTAGTAGTTTACACTTCCCCAATTAAGTCCCCCCTCCTTACCAGCCAGAAATAAACACTATGTTGAAATTTTTGTTAAGCTTACTAAGTTTTTCTAGGTAGTCTTATTACTCATGCAGGCATTTCTAAACGGTATCTTGTTTAGTTTTGCCAATATTTGATCTTTATATTAGTGGAATCATATATACTTCTGAAATTTTTTTTTTCTTGTTTTTGAGATTAATCCATGTTGATGAATGTAGGTGGAATTCATTCTTTTCATCATACTGTATCACTCTGGTTATTGACTGACATTTTTTTAAACTACAAACCAATCTTATTTTATTTTTTCTTTTGCATCTTTTTTCTTTTTTTAAATGAAACATAATTGGTTATACATATTTATGGGATACAGAGTTATGCGATACAGAGTTGACTCAGTATTTGTGTACAATATGTGATGATCGAATTAATATTATTGTCATGTTCAACATTACAAATTGTAATTATTCTTGGTGTCCCTTACCCAATTTCTCCTTAGCTCTCCTCCCCCTACCCCTTTCCCAAAACTAGTAACCATGTATCTGTTCTCTCCTTCTGAACTTTCAGCATATTATTGTGCAGTCTGTCTTTCTCTCTTTTTTTTCTTTCTTTCTTGCTTCCCACTTATGAGTGAGGACATGCGGTATTTCTCTTTCAGTGCCTGGTTTATTTCACTTAACATAATTTTCTCCAAGCTCACCCATGTTGCTGCAAATAGCAGAATTTCATTCTTTTTTATGGCCGAGTAGTATCCCATTGTGTATATATACCACATTTTCCTTATCCAGTTGTCCATCGATGGACATTTAGGTTGGTTCCATATCTTGGCTGTTGTATATAGAGCTACAGTGAACATGGGAGTGCAGGCATTCCTTCGACATGATGATTTCCATTCCTTTGGGTATATACCCAGAAATGGGATTGCTGGATCCTATGGAAGTTCTATCTGTAGTTGTTTGAGAAACCTCCATACTATTTTCCATAATAGTTGTACTAATTTACAGTCCCACCAACAGCATAGAGAGTTCCCCTTTCTCCACATCCTGGCCAGCATTTGTTATTCTCTGTCTTTTTGGTAGTAGCCATTGACTGACATTTTGATTGTTTGCAGTTTTCTGTTGCTTACAGAAGCTGCTATGAATATTCTTGTACCTATTTCCTGGTGCATTTGTGCAAATGTATATCAATAGAATTGCTGGAGCATAGGGTGTGGATCTTCAGCTTTACTTATAAAATAAAATGATTTCCCTGTAGGGTGGTACCAATTATCCTCTTATTAGGAATATAGGAGAGTTCCAGTTGACCCACCTTGGCAACACTTGAAGTTTTCTCTCCCTGATCTGATGGATATGAAATGGTTTCTTGTTGCGATATTAATTTGCATTCCCTGGACACTGATAAGGTTGAACATCTTTTCAAATATTTTTCTCTTCCTTATTGATTTTTGAGAGCTTTATATATTAGTGTGGATAGTAATGCTACAAAGTATTTTCTCAATTTTTGGCTTTTGCATTTTCTTCTTTCATTTCTTTTTTTCATTAGAAAAGATCTTTTGATATAATTAGAAATTTTTTTCTTAAATTTAATGTAGTTGAAAAAGTTTTAAAAATCTTATTTAAAAATCTTTTCATACATCAAGCTCTTAAAGGTATTCTGTATTTTTTTTCCTAAAATTTTTATAGTTTTGATTTTTATGTTTAATATGCCATCATCTAGAATGAAGTTTTTATGTATGTTGTCAGATAGGGGTTCGGTTTCTTTGTTTTGTTTTCATTTCAGTGTCCTAGTATCATTTATTGACTATTATCACATATTTGCCACTGGCCTTCAATGTCACCTTAAGTTTATGGATATGCGCGGAGTGTGTTTCTGGGCTCTCAATTCCATTCTGTTGGTCTAGTCTTCTGTTGTGGGGGATATCACACAGAGGAATCCAAGGCCAGCATCAGTGATGCAGTTTTACAGCTCTTTATTTCGTCTTATAGCTCTTTGTTCAGTGTTACAGCACCTTTTTGCTTGCAAGCAAGGAGAGCACTGGGGAGTGAAGACTCCTAGACCAGTGTCTTTCCGAACAAAGGAAAGAGGCAGTCTTAGCCAAAATTCCCACCCTAACTTCCTGCCCAAGTTCCCATTTAGGTCCTCTAATGTAAATGAGGGAAGCAGTCCTGCTAATTTGTATTGGCTGATTATGGGACACAGTCCATTGGTCAGCTCTGGAGCCTAATTTGCATCCAGACCTTAGGGCAGTGTAAGACTGTTGTTGTCTCCTATTAGCACATGGATACAGGAGAGTGCAGGAAGCAGGCAAACTAAGTCGTAGGAGCCAGAGTTTGCTATTAAGACAGTCAAGCATAAAATTTCTAAAATGGTTTCTCGAGTGAAAAAAAGGGAGAGGCTTAACAATTAGAAAATGCTCAGGGTTCCCTGCAACACTGTCCCTGTACCACTACCCATTTTCTTCAATAGTGTAGCCTTGTGATAACTTTTGATGTCTGGGGCAGTATTCCTCAGGAATGTCTTGGTTTTGTTGTTTCTTTGATGTTCCATATAAAATTTAGCTTGTCAAGTTCCATGAAAAATGGTGTTGGGATTTTGATCAAAATTGCATTGAACCCTTAGATCTGTTTTAGGAGAAGTAACATCTTAATAACATCTGTTACTATCTTTGAACTATTTTGGTCCTCTTAAAATCTTTCTGAAAAGTTTCATAATTTTCTACATAAAAATTTTGACTTCTAGGTTAGATTTATTTCTAGGTACCTTGTTTTTGTTGCTATTATACCTGGTTTCTTTGTTTAAATTAAAGCTTTTAACTGTTGCTGGTATGTAGAAATGCTATCCTGGTAAACTCTTATTTCCAATAATTTTCTATCAGATTCTTTTGAAT